CAGGATGATGAAATGAAATGAAAAAAATGAATCAAATCACTGTGAGATTGACCTTTACAAAGCTGTTCACGATAAGGTTTCAGTTATACAGTGTTCTATCACTCACCCCTCCATCAGTGCATGTTTCCCAGGACCAGTCCCCCCAGTTTCCTTCCCATCACTACCTCCTACTCCACCAGCCTCTTTTATGGCAGGGACTTTTCTTGAACTTCCTATTTCTATTGAAGTCTGCATCCTGCTGTACACCTGAACATGGAAAAATGCTTTTCCTTGTTCTGTATCCTCTTTAAATTATAAACATACTTCAGGGTAAAGAGACAAATCCATTTGGAGTACAATGCCTGATCAGAGACTTTTCTCTGGGAAAATCTGTCATGACAGATTGTTCGAGAAACTGGTAGTAGACTAAGAGTCCAGGACCTCTACAACTGGCACCCCAGATCTTGAAGGGGGTGGGGGACAAAGAAAAGAAGGAAACAAGTGTGAGGTAGGGATTAGAGTTCTCTAAATAATTTTCCACACTGAAAGTTTGTTTTTTTAACAGGTTTATTGAGATAAAGTTCACATACCATACAAATTTTCACCCATTTCAAGTGTACAATTCAATGAATGACTTATTATATTTAGAGCTGAGCAAGCATTATATCACAATTTTGGAAAATTTTTGTTACCCTCAAAGAAACCTCCACCTCACTCATCCACCCAGCCCTCTGCGGCCACTGGTACTCCTGTCTGTAGATTTCTATTCTAGATACTTCATATAAACGTAATAGTAAGATACATGGTCTGGCTTCTTTGGCTTAGCATAGTGCTTTTGAGGTTCATCACATCATAGCATATATCAGTACTTTATCCCTTTTATATGGTTGAATGTCATTCCACTGTACAGCTATATCACATTGCATTTATCTATTCCTCCACTGACAGACATTTGGATTGTTTCCACCTGTTTGGCTGTTATCAATGATGCTCCAGGAACAATTAGACAAGTTTTTATGTAGACATGTTTTCATTTACTTTCTATGATCCTAGTGGTGGCACTGCTGGGTGATAAGGTAGTTATTTAACCCTCTGAGGAACTGTCAGAAATTTCCCAAAGTTTCCCATAGAATTTCCCACCATTTTACATCACCACCAGCAATGCTCCAATTTCTCTACAAAAATCTTTCTGATTACAGCAACCCTAGTAAGATGTACTATTTCATTGTGGCTTTGATTTCTCCTAATGACTGATATTAAGTAGCTTATACTGGGTTTGGGGGAAGACATCATGAATTAAACCCAGGGTGTCATACATGTGAAGCCTGTGCTCTACCACTGGTAGCTACCAGCTAAATTCTTGGATTTACTTTTCACATATTCAAAAAACACAGCACACCTTCACTACAGAAATCTCTAGTCAGATTGTTTGTTCACTGAAAAACTGTCATTTTATCACTGAGTTGTAAGAGCTCTTGCTTGTTCCCAGATACAATCTCCTTATAAGTCTTGCAAATATGTCCTTCAATTCTGAGTGTTGTAGCTTTACACTCAGTGGAATTCTTTGAAAGACATACTTCTAAATTTTAATAAAGTTTATCTCATTTTTCTCTTCTTGACTTGTGCTTTTGGTGTTACATCTGAGAAACCAGAAGCCAAACCTAGATCATAAGATTTATTCCTTGATCATATAATTTATTTTCTGAGTTTTATAGTCAAACTTCTTACATTCAGATCTTTAATCAATTTCAATTTTTGCATTTGGTGTGAGGCAGGGGTCCAACTTCATTCTTTGCATGTAAATATCCAGTTGTCACAGCACCATTTATCAAAAAGACTATTCTTTGCCCCCCACTGAAGTCCTAAGCACCCTTACTAATTAATCATAAAAGTGAAGGTTTATTTCTGGACTCTCAAGTCTATTCCACTGACCTATATGTCTGTACTATGACAGTACCACACTGCTTGCGACTGGTAGTTTTGCAATAAGCTTTGAAGCTGGAATATGTGAGTGTCTCCCAACTTTGTTCTTTAAGACTGAATTCCCATGTGAATTTTAAAATCGATGTACCGACCTCTTCAAAAAAGTCAGCTGAGATTTTGCACTGGAAATTGCTTAGTATTTCAGAATAAACAATGAACTACTGAGATCCATAAAACATTTATTCATATAGTTTGTGATAGTATAAAAGTGATTTATTTATTTAATCAGAATATATAAAATTTACTGAAGGGCATGGGCTGGAGCGATAGCACAGCGGTACGGCATTTGCCTTGCACGTGGCTGACTTGACCGACCCAGGTTTGATTTCTCCGCCCCTCTCGGAGAGCCTGGCAAGCTACCGAGAGTATCTCACCCGCACAGCAAAGCCTGGCAAGCTACCTGTGACGTATTTGATACGCCAAACATGGTAACAACAAGTCTCACAATGTTACTGGACCCTCTTGAGCAAATCGATGAACAACTGGAGGACAGTGCTACAATACTACAATGCTACTGAAGGGAAACTGGGGCCTAATAGAACCTTGCTAATAAACACAAGAACCAAGTTCACAGTCTTATTTATTTTGTGTGAAAAAAATTGCTACAATTTTTACCCGTAGTCCCAAATGGGGTACAAACAGTAGCAATATTTATTAAGAATCTATCAAGTACTTTGCAAGTTTTCATATTTATTCGATGTGACAATCAATTAAAAAGGCATACATTTAATGTAACAAAAACTCACTCTCATGTATTAACATGCGAGTGTGGCCTATAGATATGGAAGGTTTTTTTGTTTGAGGTGGTAAGAGGCTTGGGGGCTACTCTCAGCTCCATGCTAAGAGGGAGAGGAAGGGCTTACTCCAGACAGTGCTAAGGAATTGCTCTGGGATCAACCGCATGCAAGGCAAGCACCTTAACCCCTGTACTATCTCTCTATTCCCAGATCTTATTTTATTTATTTATTTTTTGCGTTTTTGGGTCACACCCAGCAATGCTCAGGGGTTACTCCTGGCTCTGCATTCAGGAATTACTCCTGGCAGTGCTGGGGGACCATATGGGATGCTGGGAACCGAACCCAGGTTGGCGGCGTGCAAGGCAAGTGCCCTACCCGCTGTGCTATTGCTCCAGCCCCTCTAGTCCCAGATTTTAAAAAATGGTGGTCAAATATATGCAACATATTTCAGAAGATTTGCAAACAATTAAGCGGGACGCTATGGATAAATAAGAAGTATTAAATATGGCCAAGATTTAAGAAAAAACGAAGGTGAATTTTGAAATTGCGGAGGGAGAATGTTACTTGGAGAAGCAAAGCTGTTTTTAAATAAAGGTACCACTATGAATCCAATCTCAGATCCCGGAAGAGTGAGCTCTTTAAGTGAGTCTTGGGTCAGATACTGACAGAAGCTCATCTTCTTGTAGCATGGCTGCCAGACCCGATGACGAATTCATAGGTCAGCAGTTTACCCTGTGATCCCAAGAATAGCTTAAGCTAGGCCATTCTCAACCCTGACAGCCTTACAGGGGCTGATGTGCCGGTCAAACAGAATACATACATACAAAGGATTCAGTAGCCACCCAGTGCACTCTGTAACTAACAGTTAAAGTTCCCTGACTTTCCTTTTCAGCTCCGCAGGGCTGCCAATTGGGGCATAAATGGTAGCAATAAGAATCTATCAAGTACTTAGCAAATCATCACCTCAGTGAGTCACCACAGAGGTGTGTTCCATTATTTTCATCAAAAAGATGAGGAAAATGAGGCATAGGCAAATGAACTGGCCTAACGCCTCACCAGATAGAGGTGATGGAGTTAGCTAGCATTCCACTCCGGCAATCTGACTAGAAATTCTCTGCTTTTAAGCCAGTTCACCGGAGTCTCTGGACCTCCAGCAATTTGCCTCAAAGAAATGTTCTACTGTCAAATCAAAGGCCACCTGCCAGGAGATAAGAAGGATGGCTGTATGTGAACAGTCTCAGTCACAAACTGCATGTCAGCGCCTAAAGTCTACACAGAGATGACTCTGTTTAGGCAGCGACTGGCCTTCAGGAGGAACACACTTCAGCTTCAAATCCTAGGCTTGCCACTTCAATCTGGGCGTTTTAACATCAAGTCCACATAGATAAGCTTCCCTCTGGAGCAAACGGAGATACCACTTACTTCGCTGGGTTGATTTGAAAAGATAATGTAATAATGTAGTGCTACGAATACCCCACAACTACGGGCTCAGGAGGCTTTGACTTAGTCTTGATTTTTTAAAAGAGAAAGGTGTGTAGTTAAAATCAAGGCCACAAGTTTCCACGATACTTTTTAAAAAAAGTGAAGCAAGATGGTTTTTCACTGAACAAAACTAACTTAGAAAGATGGTGGTGTTGGTGGGGTGGGGGTAGAAAGAATGAAGTACATGTTCAAGAAAGAACACGAGCTTGAAGAGTTAGCCGATAAAGACACAGATAAGAAAGCACACAGGCTTAAAAGAACAAGCCTACACTTGAGGAAAAACTTGGCAGTGGAGAAGTCGGTGACACAGTGCTCTGCGGAGTACAAAGACCAGCTCCTACCGTTCGCTTAGAAAGTTAACGTTGGAGAGTATACTTTATAACAAAATTCAAGCTATTTCTCTCCTCTTTGAGCTTCCTACTCTTAAAGGCAAAAGTGAGGGCATAAAATGGGTCCGTAAACCGGACTCCCACCAGCTTTTCTAAGTGTTAGAGAAATACAGCCATTTCCACTCATTCACACATCATCTGTGCTGATTTGCACGACAATGGCCAACTTCCAAGGTGGCAGTGTTGAGTGGTTGCATTAGAAAACCCACAGGGCCTCAAATATTTTATAATCTAGGTCCTTCATGAAAAAAGTTCCCCAGCCTCCCTGGCTCTAAAATAGGAAGAAAGCATCTGAATCCACCTTTGCTTTCTACACGGGACTGAGCCTAAGGCGGAAATCTCTGCCCCTCCTCCCCAAACCATTTTAGAGTGTCTAATGTGCAAAGGAGACACCACTCAAGTGGAAAAGAAATCAAAGTTTGCAAAACGGTCAGAAGGGGAAACAAGCTTTATAAATAGAAAAGAAAAAAAAAACCATCATTAAATAACAGGATTTGCCCTGCTTTACATTGATTTTTTTGTTCCTTAAACTGATTCCAACTTCAAAGGCCCATTATCTTTCATTTGAATTCAAACACCAGTTCTTTACAAAGCTGGAACCACCACGGAGCCGCTGGCTTGCTGTTTCAACAGGAGGGGCCCCAGCGCTCAAGATGGGGAGGGCCTGGCAATCACATCAGTCAGTGCAAAATCTGCATTTTATTAAAGACATTTGGGAAGATCCATTCAAAAATACATTGTGCTCAGTAAAAATGAACCATTTCATGCTCATAATTAAGGTTACCACAGAATAGATATTTGTAGAATATTTACAGCAACAATAGAAATTTTTACAGAAGTTAGAATGAAATACATGCCAGGAAAAACTTGCTAAGATGTCCCAACACATGATACAAAGTTATATAAACACTTTACAAATGGGTCATAATTAGCTTGTGAAGAATTTACATATTCAACACTTTAAATTCAGTTTGGATCGAAAAATTAAAAAGGTTAATACTACTTGACACCCTTGCCACGGTAAAAAGTATGGAATCACACCTTGTATGATGGATTATAAAGTCTGTGCAATTAAGAATTTCTACCGATTCTTTAACTACCACAAATTTGGAGGTTCCATCACTCTGGCTTATCCCTATATTTTGTTTTCGCACACGAGGAGGGCTCTGAAAATGACCCCACCCCGTGTCTTTCCACAGGCCCCCTTCAAACTTCCTAGAGATTGAAGAAGCTCGGAATAGTCTTCTATGTACAGAATAACTACCTGAATTCAAAATGGCACAAAGCGATTCTTGGAGATACGAACTAGGGGCAACTACTTTGTTTGGTTTCATTATTTCAGTGAATTCGAGTTTACAATGAGAATCTACTTGTTGCAGTCACAGCATTATCCCTCCAGCCTGACTCAATCAGTCACCAAGGAGGAAACACGGAGAGAAGAAAATAGTCTGAGATGACGGGAATCTATCATTTTTACCTCTAGTGAAAATGAAGCTGATGCAAAACTCTGCTTTCCACTTTGGAAAATCGAAGCCATTGGTGGAGAACATCCAGGTTCTCCGGGAGGAAAAGTCTCCCTTTTCCCCTTGAAACTCTAAATGTTTTTCCCCCTTGAAACTCTGGAGTTTTGACGACTCTGGCAATTAACACTATAATCCCAACAGGGACAAAAGACAAGGCATCTACCTTTGCTATTCCTGGCTTTTGTCTGATTACCCTGAAGCACAGCGCTAGGGGGAGCCTGAAACAAAATCAGACCAGGCTTTGGGGAGCCTGAACTCCCCAACCAAAGGAAGTCCTGAGGAATTCTTAGCAGTCTGTCAAAACAGAACGGATGGAAAAACAGATAAGGCCGCTTTCTCCCTGATACTCTGAGCAAACAAGGCAACTTCTAATCTGCGTACACTATGGAAACCGATTTTTTTTTTTAATATTCCAAAGGAAGCTCAAAATAGGACCCAAGGATCAAATGGGGGTCAGAGAGCTTACTTAACCTTGTGGAGTAATGAAGGGCCTTAGCAGCGAACCAGTATCATCACCGCGGTTCTGCAGGCCCTAGAAATCTGACGTGCAGACTATTACAAATTTTTTTCTGGCAAAACAAAAGACAAACCTCCCTTAGATGGGGGAGTAAACAGCTAATGAATGAAAATACAAGGCAGGTGGTGATCAGATTGAATAGCCTATAGGTAATAATACACAGCAGGGCCCAGAGAGGGGGCAAGGTGGAGTCAGGACCAGGCCTAACTAAGGAATTAACAAAGCACTACAGGAAATGAATATTCACAGAGTAACTGACTTGGCATACAAGCCTAAGATCTTTTATAATACATTCAATTAAAAAAGAAGAACATCTAGGATAGGGCGCTCGGCCCAGAATTTCCTAGTCACCTTACTTTGAACACACTGTGTGTTTACAACGCTTCATTTTCCTGCATTTACTGAAGGTTTCTAAAACAGAATTCATTTCCCAGCTGCATCAGACCTCTGGAGGGTCTATAGCTCAGCTGGCCAAGATGGAAAGGTAAGAAATGAGAACGACTTACAAAGTTTTGTAAGTTGGACTTTTAAGTCTCCAAGAAAGACTTTTTGTAAGGTTCCAGTCCTGGAATTAGCAAGAGGACCCTCAAAACATCTTTGCTCTCGTCTCTGCAGCCCCCTTGAAAGAAATCCTCTTTTGGTTTGTTTTCATTGAACTGGAAATAGGTTTTCTCTATGTACACACTCGATTGGCAACAAACCGAAGGAAACAAGGAAATATCTCGGTCATTTCGGCCTTGGTTCAGTGCATCACCCCACATCCTTGGTTCACGGAAATGCGAGTGTGGATCTCGGTGCTCACACGGAGGTCGGTCTCCCACTCACAAGCAGGAGGTAACCAACTCTGAAAGAGAAAAAGCAGTGCTCTCCAGAAAACATGTACTGAGCACGAGAGGAAACGCAGATTTCGGAGTCCCAGCTGTCCGCTAGGACTAAATCACAATGAGCAATTGCCCTTGCTGAAAGTTTGGTCACCACCAGGCCAAGGTGGACAGGAACGGACACAGAAGCTTTAACACACTTGAAAAGCAATCCTCTGGCCTTTTAAATAAGTGGTACACTTATGAGTCATCTTCAATACATAGCTAGAAGAAAAGAAATGGCTTTTTTCCTTAATTACTCTAAAAGCTAGTTTAAGAAGGGAGGATACTAGGACATCAACTAAGGTGCCGGGAAGGGAGGTGGGTTAGCATTTCCCAGTGAAGTCTGTTAATTTTCAGATTAGGAACATGCTAAACTGGCTAATACTACAACCACAACATACTTCATAATACAAGACATGACTAAAACTAACCAGGACAGCTCTGCTCGTGGAGTCAAAGCACAACTGCATACACTGAGTCTTAAAGCATGATTTAAAACAGATTTATTCAAAGCACACAGCACAAATACACCGATAACAGCCACATCACAACTGCCGATAGAGATTTTTGTTTCTAATCGGTCTGTCATATGCCAATATTTGTAAAGAGCTATTCAATGGCTCAAACTGAAAAAAAAAAAAAGGGACATTTTCTTTCGGGAGACACAGCTCAAAGCCATGGACGCCTTTGAGCAGCTGGCAAAAGTCATGCCAATCTGCCAGGCTGCTGCTTGGTTCTAAATATAAGCCCTGGGGCTCTATGAAAGATTTCCGAAGGACGCTGACCTAGTATTGGGACTTTCGAACACCTGCAAAGCCACTCTGGGTCTCTTCCCAAAGGATTCACTTTTTAGAAGGCCCAAGACAATGGACACGAACGACAGAATTCCAGGGATTCCAGAATAGTGGTAGAAAGTTCTCTCAGAGTCACTGATGTTGAAGACTTCCTACCTGCAGTTTCAGAGAGCGGAGAGGAGGACGTTGCTGAACAGGGGTTCTCACCTCAGCAACACTGACACTGGGGTTAGATCCTTCTTTGCGGGTGGAGGACGGGCCAGGGATGCTGCTTGTACATGCAGGACCTGGAGGGGCATCTCTAACCTCTACCTCCACTTTGGACAACCAACTAGGGCTCCTGCCACTGCCCAATGGCAAAATGACCTGGGCTGAGGGCCACCGTGGCTGGGCCATGGCCCCTTAGCGTGGGACACATTTGGTCCTGGGCTCTGAAGAGAGGCAAAAAGCTCAGTTCCCAACCAGAGGAGGTTAAACAATAACTCACTGGAATGTCTGAGAAGAACAGGGAGGGTAAAGGAAGAGGAGCACAGTAGCGAACGTGATTCCCCTCGGAACAGGAAAGAAGCGACACTTCCAAGAAACAAAGGAATCCCGTGCCTTTGTTGCTGTTATTCTTTAGGAAGGTAGGGCGAAGACAGACAGGGATGTCAGAAATTTCCTTTCCTAAAGAAAACGCCAACGTTTGTGACTTCAAATTGAGTTCTTTCTATGATAGATGACAATCTTTGGGAGATCAATAATTCATCGCCCGGAGGAAAACAACAGCTAAAAGCTAGGAGAGAGCCCGTTTGATTGGGGAGAAAGCCCCACTGGTCCCCACCAAGGGCAGAAGAGAAGTGCAGGCAGAAATGCAGATTGTAATTCACTTACAGCTTACTGAGGTCAGTGGACAAAAGCTGAGCGCAGGAGAGCTACCTCAAAAACACTAGTTGAAGATATTTTTCTGGCTCAAATCTGGGAATGTACGAAAAGTAGGTATTGACTCTTCATCAGTTAGGTTTACTTTGCTCTAGGTAGAAGGCAATAAGTCTAGCCCTTCTTTGAAGAACCACCACGGATATTAAATGTTCTGCAGACGCCTGAGATCCCAGTGTTCTGGCAAGGTTGAAAACGTGGGACATCAGCCTCGAGGTGGCCAACCAGCCTCAAATGCCACAGTGGGGCAAGGTGACTGCGCGGGTCCTACGCGCACAGCACACAGTGAGGAGTCTTTCCAGAGGTGGGGAGGTGCAGTTTCTGGTATGCAAGGGTACAGATCCGGTATGAAAAAGGAGAGTTGCATACCCTTTGAGAGTCATTGGCATCCAGGCAAGAACTGCGAAGGGTCCACGTCACTTTTAGAACTGAGCAGCTGCCTGGGAAAAGCCAGAATTCAGAGCTACTCCAACAGTACTAAACTGGTGAAGGAAACGAGATATCAAAAGAACTGAAGAGCATGCAAACTATTGATTGAATCAAATTGTTTCCATGATAGTACCCAGTTGAGTTTCATTTTAGTGCCTATTACACTTATTAAAAGTAAATAAAAAGCACCGTAAAATGACCTCTCTATATAATCAATACACATCATTATAATAATTCTATAAAATGCAATATGCACACAATTTAAGCTTCAAAGAAACTATGAGATTTTTTTTCTTTATAATTGTTATCATCATCAGAGCTATAATTCTCAAAATCTTGGGGGGAGGGGGACAGTAACTCAGCACAATTCAATCACAGCTGACGTGAGTTAGGGGCTGATGCTCTCAGAATCCTGGTACAAGTAATAAATACTGAGAGGTTACAACCTCTTGGAGGAAGGGTAGGATGGGACCTTTAAAAGTATTATTGCTACGAAACTACTTCCAAAAATCTAAAACTACTCTTGAAGGATGAGGGGGTGGTGATTTCCGTCGAGGACGGCCTAGAGACACAGGCAGGGTCACAGCCCTGGCGGCGGATGGCCTTGGTGATACGAGGGAGTTAAGTTGGAAGTTGAAAGACTGTTCCGACAGTGGGGATGTGTGTGCGTGTGTGTGCATGCACACGTGTGTGATGGGAACCTTACTAGAAATGACTAGGCCCAGGAAGAAAAATTAGTCTAGCAATGTTTTTCTGACCTCTAGAATTGCTTCAGGAACCTACTGAATCTATCAGAAAGAGTAATAACAAAACAGTATTTAGAAAGAGAAACGCCACATCCCTCCATCCCAGAAGCTCCGCGACAGTGCACAGGATTCAGGAGCCTAACGCTGGCTTGCAGGATCTGCAAACAGGTGCCTCTCACAACCTTGCAACTAGGTATGTTCACCGGCGAATCTTTGGTCTGCGCTCCACAGACACACAGCACATTCTCACTACGGAGACCCAGGAGCAATCCTGGATGAATTCTCCTCCCCTCGGGTGCAAGGATCATCCCTAGACATGCACAGGAGCCCACTGAGTGAGGGCAGAGACGATGTGGCTGGGGTTCTCACCGATCTCCCCAACTCTCTCCCCCCATGGGTTTGGAGGAAGTGGCTGCATCTTGTCTGCTACCAAGGGTCACGTCTAGAGGCGACTGCTGGGGCCTGGGAGCTGAGCAAGGTCCCTACAGTTACAGCCCCACAGAGCCACCAGGCAACTCCCTTGCTTAGAAGTGTAGCACTTACTTCATATCACAAATGTATAAAAATATGGCAGATAGTGTCATGACGATACTTTCTTTCAATGATTATATTTATAAAACAGACAGATATTTACTATATATATTTATAGAGAGAATAAAATACTCCTGATGCAATATATAAATGGTACTGTTTAGTTTGTATAGAAACTACTGTAGCTGTCCCACTGCTTCACAATGTTTCAAACAGCTCAAAAGAACTTTACAGTGAACATGAAAGGTATGATTCGAACAGTACAATATTAATTATAAATCAACGTTACAAATCCTATCAAATATGGGAGTTTAGAAAACAATTTAAGACATACAGTTGGTTCATCTGCTAACCCTTCGAAGGGATACTCTTGGATTACAATCACCACATTTAGTTTAGGCAGAAAAAAACTCTGTGGTAAGGGCATTGGTCAACGTGAAATTTCTATCCCTTGCAGTGCTAGAACATGTCCTGGCATTCCCAGGTTCCACAGGGGTTGCACTGAAACTGCAATGGAGGGGAGAAACTGCCAAGACGTCTTCTTCCTTCCTCAATGGCACTCTATCCATCCCACACAGGGACCCCTGGGGACGGCAGTCCCTAAGGAAGTCCTGCGGCTCTAAGATCCCTGACTTGCATTTGCGGAGGCGGGACGCCCGACGGCGCCCCGCGGACAATATTGCACACACCTTCATAAAGCTGAAAATACTGGCTTGCGACCCCGGCCCGCTCGTTTCCCACCTGCCCGCCCCCCTCCCCGGCCCTTCCCCCCAACACACATTACAAGGCTGTCTCTTTCAAATCATTCAGGTTCGGAATTCGCGACCGATTTGTTCTATTGTACGGGTGCCCGTTCGGCCCACTCTTGGCACCCAGCTGTTCCGAGTAGGAAGGCCCCTCCGTGGCACCCCGGCTCACGGAGGACACGTGCCAACCAGGGTCCATCTGACCTGGCAGCTGGAGGGTGGGCCGGCCCTTGGGGGTGGGCTCCGGCCGGAGGTTGCTACTCCCAGAGGCCTGGCTCAGGGGATGGATCCGGATTTCTGAGAAGGAATTTTTGGCTTGCTGAGTCGCTAGGGGCTGGAAGCGAGGGTCAGACGAGGCTGGGTGATTGGACGTCGAAGAGAGATGCAAGAGCTTGCGCAGTGACTTCAACGGCTGGCTCTGAAAGAAAGGACGAGAGCGCGTCAAGTGTTTCATTCCAATGTGGGCCAGAACCGGACCAGCAGCGAGCCCAGGCAGCCGAGGAGGTGGTGGAGTCCAGCCACCTGTTCTTTTTCAGAATGTTTTTCTTTCGCGAAAATCCTAAGAAGCTGGAGAAGCTGTAGTGGCTGACCCAAGGCCGGACCCCTTCTGTCCGGCTGCATCCCCTCTTTATCCGGGGATCTCATGTGACCAACAAGAGACAGTGGAAGATCTCGCCTCTCCCTTTGGAAAAGACTCCCCCAAGCTCCATCTCACACAACCTATTTCTGGAACAGCGGCCGGCACTAGCGGCCCACGCCCCAACTAGCTGCAAGGGGAAACCAACCATGAGATCCTGCAATTAGGTAGCACAAGCCCCAGCTACAAACGGACACACCTTTTCGCCCTTAGCTCCTGATTTTCCCATGCCTTCGAGGCTGTAAAATGCAGTTTATGGCACACTTCAAGTTTTGTGGAGCAGTGGCGGGGTCGGGGTGGGGTTACTTTCAATTTGGGAAGAGACAAGATTTGGGCATTAAAAATTAACAATGCAAAGTCCAGAGAAACCAGCAAAATCCCTACAGAATCTGTGACATCCATTCCCACGAGGTCTTCCATTCCTTGCCTTCACTCACAGTGGCCCCGCTAGTCTGCGGCATGGTCTGAGGGAGGGGGGCGTGCTTCAAGAAGGGAAGGCTCTAGAAGGTGATTACCTCTCATTGGCCAGCTACCTCAGATAAGCCCCGGGCTCCTCTCTTCCACACTGGGGTGTGATGAGGTTCTCCATCAGCAGAAGCCTGAGAGAGTGTTCTGAACTCAAGGTCCTCACTGGGTCCTGGCTCTGAGGCTGCAGTTGTTAGAGAACCTCTACTCTATTGCCACTGAACCAGCCCCGCACACCGAAAGGCTCAGTTAAGTTTCAATAAAATGAAGATGACCTCAAGGAACGGAGTTAAGATTTAACAGAACAGGGGGCTGGAGCGATAGCACAGCGGGTAGGAAGTTTGCCTTGAACGCAGTCGACCCAGGTTCGATTCCCAGCATCCCATATGGTCCCCCGAGCACCACCAGGCGTAATTCCTGAGTGCATGAACCAGGAGTAACCTCTGTGCATCACCGGGGTTGACCCCCCCAAAAAAAAATCGAACAGAACAGGGTGCTGAGGTCTATGGGAAACTTTCAGAGAAGTGATTTGTGTAGGAATCAGTCATGGAGTGTAGATTCCATGGACACTGCAAAGTCTTTTCGAGAGTTTTGTAGTTCTCAGGGCTGGAGCACAGAAGGTAGGGCGTTTTCCTTGCAGGTGACCGACCTGGCCGACCTGGGTTCGATTCCTCCGCCCCTCTCGGAGTGCCCGGCAAGCTAACAAGTCTCACAATGGAGACGTTACTGGGCCCGCTCGAGAAAATCGATGAACAACAGGAGGATAGTGACAGTGACAGTTTCTAGTTCTAAATGGTCAGTGTGCACCATGAGGGTTCAAAAGGTATTTTACTATTATTTACTGAAAAATCATTTCGATAAAACAATGAAATTCCTGGATTTTTATAGCACAGACTGCATGTAAGTATCAAGCCATGCTGAGAATCTGGGCTTAGCTAGAGATGAAAGTTAGCGGAAATGATCATCTCTTCAAAAGAAATAGTCGAAAAAGCATGCGGGGGGGCGGTGGGAGCTCTAAAACCCCATGTTCTTTTTATTTTAAATTGGGACTAGAACAGTAAGCCCCCACTCATAGATCTGTGTTCTTAGTTCTAATACATAACCAATAGTATCGGTTTCTCTAACTTCCTCTGCTGCCTACCCTATGTAAGCATGATGTACAAATGGTTGGGAAAACAGAATTGACATTTGGGAACTCCTGTCAGCATCTCTAACTGAACAGCCTAGAGTTAATGAGAGTGCACAGCACATCTGTGAAAAAAACCCTCCTCCTGATCACAAAAATGCGTGGCTATCATCGGCACAAGTGAGCCCAAAAATTGCTCAATGAGGAGTCAGACATTGAAGTATAGATTTATAAAATATTGAATGGGACCCAAACTGCTCAGATTAGACTACTACACTGAAAGGACATTAAAACATTTCCATTAAGAAGAGCTGTTTTAGGGGCTCTGCGATAGCACAGCAGGTAGGGCGTTTCCCTTGCGCAGACCCGGGTTCAATCCCTGGTACCCCATATGGTCTCCCAGCACTGCCAGGAGTAATTCCTGAGTGCAGAGCCTGGAGTAACCCCTGAGCATCCCTGGGCATAAAAGTAAAAATCAAATAAATAAATAAATAAATAAATAAAAAAGAATAGCTGTTTTAGGGGTCTGGGAGATAGAAGAGTGGGTAGGGTGCCTGCCTTATACACTTGACTTAAGTTTGATCCCATATGGTGTCCTGAGCACCACAGGAGTGATTCCTGAGTGTAGCCAAAGGGGGGGGGAATAATAGTTGCTTCAGAAGATAAAGTCAGTTACACAAAAAAGTAGATTCAATTCCTGCTAAGCCCTGCCCTCCCCCCATAAGATAAATGTGATTATACACTGTCAAGTAAGAAGCTCCTAATGTAACTATTTACCAGGCATCTATCAAAGATCATCTAGATTGTAGAAGTGTAAATATTCTTTCAAAAAAGCTTAATTCACCTATTTTTCAAGGCCCAATTTGTATTTTACCACCGCACTCTCAACTTATTTACAGGACCACATCTGTGGTACTGGAACCAGGGGCATGTGTGCCATGACAGGGAGAAAACTCAGGGTCTACTCATGCTCTACTACTTGTACTATCACCCCAGTCCCTGTGCTAACCATTCTGAATAAACTCTTGGTCTTCACATAACCTCTTCCCATTATCCCTCTACTTTATGCTTACTTTTTACCCATGACTTATGGGAACTGATGAATTTTTCTCTCTCTCCTAGACTATGGAGTGTTTGGTGAGGTGGGTCCATGTCTTAATCATTTCCCCAAAACTCTTCCAAGTCCCCAGCAAAGATGGCAGCTCAGAGGCTGGAGCAATAGCACAACGGGTAGGGCATTTGCCTTGCATGTGGCTGACCCAGGTTCGATTCCCAGCATCCCATAGGGTCCCCTGAGCACTGACAGGGGTAATTCCTGAGTGCAGAGCCAGGAGTATCCCCTGTGCATGGCTGGGTGTGACCCAAAAAGCCAAAAAAAAAAAAAAAAAGATGGCAGAACACTCTTTTTTCCCAGGAGATGGGCCACTGAAATGAGATTCAACCAGACTCTTAAGATGCACCTAGTTCCTGATGAGAGTATACTCGTGCAGGGGGGATTGAGGGGGGTGGAGACATTCAGGCTGGTAGGAACATTGAGAGGCTAAATCTCTCTCTTTCCTCTCCTCCCTCTCCCTCTCCCTCTCTCTCTCTGCGATGGTCACTGAGGAGGAGTCAGAGAGTCTGGGAGAAAAGCAGGGGCCACTCACTTGGGTCTGTATATCAGAGATTTTCTCAGGACGCCACTCCTTGGGCCTGCTGCTTGGCGTGCTGGCAGAGTGAATAGCTTTTTGCAGAGTTAGAAGGTCAGGATTGTCAGAATTGGGCACCTAGAGCAGAGCATGGACAAGGGGGTCAGAAAGCACACCAAGAAACTTAAGCTCTATGACCACAACCAAGAGAGGAAAAACGAAAGCAAATGAAACCAAACCAAAATTTAACACCCACGATCCCCCCCCACAAAAGACCCAATAATCAAAACAGAAAGAAACAAACTCTCCCATGTTCACAATGCAAGTGATGCTAGTTAATTTTTTTTTGCCCTCAATAATTTTCCCTGCATTAGGAAAAATTGCAAGGTGTCATGCAGCTGGTATAAAACCTCATCCCTTAAAAGCATTCCCATGCTGTTAGTTTCAGTTGCTGTAAGAGAGAGAGAGAGCAGTTAAATAAGGCTGTACCCGGAATTGCTGTCGTATCCTCATTCCATATTGCAGTTAGGTTATGAACCAGTTCAATAAAACAAAATTTTGTTTCTACTGAGAAAATGATCCAAACACTGTATGTGGTGGTGCCAAAGAAGTCTAGTAGGTTTTCATTGGGGACCAAGAGGAAAGTATGGTTTGGATCATGTTCCCAAGACATTTTTCCTAATCAATGTGGCTTGAGCATTATGCGCTATGAAAAATGCAAGAAATTTTTGTGCCACAAATTCTAGACAGATGCATTTTGATTCATTTGTTGATTTTGGTGAACCCAGGAAACTAAAGCCAAGTACCAAGCAAAAGCCCTGGCTTTAAATTAAGTGACCGGCAAAAAGCTAAATCCAGCCAAGGAAAAAGCAAATTACCAACTAACAGAAGCTGTTTTTTCATGGAACCTTGTGAGCTCACGCAATTTGATCAGTTCAACTTGGTTTGTCAGACACAAACTGCCAACCAAGTGTTAACAAACTTTGTGAGCCAAAAGAAGAGATATTCGTTAATTGTAAATGTTAACAGAATTCTTTACAGGAAATATGGGATTTTACGAAAGCTGCCAGCACTTGGCTAATCAAAAAAAAAAAATCAAACTAGCCTTGCACTAGTTTGTTTAACATAAGTCTTTTATGCATCAATCTCCTTGACTGATCTGGAAACTCCAGAATAACAAAGAATTTATATCTTGGTGAATTTATGGAACTGGCTCAGGTACTTAACTAGCATAAAGAGAATATGACCCCATGAAAAGATAAGACATGCTGTTGTCATCAGTAAAACGAGTTTACTGGCACAGTTTTCAGGGCTACCATACATAAAAATGGGTACCATGGGCGGAGTGACTACAGGAAGCTTTTTCAAAGAAGAGCTATGCTTTAAATGATTCTTTGAATTAAAAAGAGGAAAGAGGGATTTCTTGATGCTTGGATTCTCCCCGTTGGTGGACTCTGTCTGCAATCAATATAAGATACAAATAAACTAATCGCCAGAGAAAAGGAAAAAAGAAAATTCCCTATTGAAATTGAAACTCTAGATTTTAGAGGCCCTCAGTTTGTTACTGACAGTCACCAAAAGACATCTGGGTGGTGTGGGCATCAGAGCTGTGTTGGTTCTCTCCTGGTCAGAAGTTGACAACAATGAAAATTCAAAGTAAGCACCAACTTCTTGTCTGAGGAAGGTGTGGTCATAATCAATACTATGGTAGTAAGGCCTGAAAACCTACACTTATTTCTTCACAGGAACCTTACAAAAAATTCCAGGAGTGCTTATTAATAGAAATACAACTGTTGATGAACTTCCATCTTTTCCCAATTGCTAGAGAGGACTTCAGCAACTCGATAAGGTCTACCACATAATATGGCTCAGAGGGATAACAAAAGATTCTGCAGAACCCTTTGAATTTCCTTAGCTCAGGAACGAGGAAACATTGCTTGGAAGAGGAAAATCCTAAGTGCAGTATATTTACATCGAGTATAAAGAGTGGTTTGATGCTGAGAGAAATAATCACCCGATGGAAACTCGGGCTTCTGGAATGCTCGGGCTATGGAACTGAAGCCTGATTTCCCGAGGTGGCTTCCGGATTTGCATGTGTCGAAGCATTTACCTTTATGATACAGAATATTTCTTGGCGCTCATTTCCCTGCTTTGGATACCTCAACTGCTGGAGAGCTAGGATGTATATAAAAGTATCCAGATCATCTTTCATGAGTATGTGTATGAAGATGATTGAGCAAAGCCTCCCGTGGTGTTTCCTATTCCCATGAGAGAAGGCTTCCTAGGCCGAGGAGGTCAGAGGAAGCTCCCAGGAAGCAGGGCTTGGAAGGTCTCCACACCAGTGCACTGATCTGAGTCTAGGCCTGCCTTCCTGGAGAACCATCTCTGGTTCTCCTTGTAGATGTTAAGAGTTCAGGCAGGCTACAACTGCCTGGATAGTTTCTTTATCAATGAAATAAAGGGGCTCAATTAGATTTAGGACACTTTAATTCTGTTTAAATGTGCATCGCAAGGAGGCAGAGTTTATATGATATCAGACTTAGGAACTGAAGTATATCTGGCAAAATATACTGTGCGCTCTTTGGACATGTTATTCTCGATATCAAAGTCCTTAAAATGCTTTTTCTTTAAATTAAGGAATGCAGAGAGGTACAAACCACTTTTGGCTTGGAAGGGTTAAGGCACTGTAACCTATTTAGGGTGACTTTGGTCACTTTGCATATTAGAATAAAGCATATGAAAATCTAAACAAAACTAAGTTCAAATAAAGAGGATGTTTGAGTATACTAATATTTTTGAGTATAATAATATTTTTATTTACCTGAGTTTATATGACTTAGAATTTTGATTCTTCTTATTGTATTGTTTTGGGATTATACGTAGTGGTACTCATGGACTACTCCTAGCTTGCTGCTTCAGGCTTAAACACGAAGGTGTTTATAGGGATCATGTGGTACTAGGAATGAAACCTGGGCTTTCTGCATACAAAGCATGCAACTACCTCTTTGAACTTTTCCCCTGGCCCTAAATAAATAAAGAAATTTGAAGAAGATGCTGAATGATATAGTAGAAGTAAAAAAGTAGATTCAATAGATTTAGGTAACAGTGTCTGAAGGGATTTAGTTTTGGTTTAAGGCGGGCAGATATCAAAGTGAAATCTACATGCAAAAAAACATGTTCAATTCCTTGAATTCTGTCATGTGCTCCCAATGCATCCTCCCACAATGGCTACAGACTTGAGTTTATGAGCAAAAGCAAAAACCTCAAAAAGGAAGTAACTGTAGTTAGGAGGTGATAGTCAAAGTTCAAGGTTCATGATAGAAAACTGTCCTATAGACAATGGTGTCAGTTTTATTTTATTAGCACTCTGCATATTATAAGCCCTTCTACATTAAGTCAGGTTTGTTTTGTTTAGCCATTATAACCAATTTAGAAATCCTTCAGTGGCATTTGACTTGACATTCTAATTGAAGTAAGTTTCAAATTAGAGACATAGTCCAGGCTTGGGTTTTTTTCTTCTTTTTGTTTTTTCAAATAATGATCATTTCAGGAATATTAGGTAGCCATTAAAATAAAAATAAATTTATCTAGCAACATACGTAGTATGTGTTTATGTGTATAAACATACATGTGACAATGGTAGTAGTAAAAACTGGAATACAAAATTATACTAGAATGATTACTACTATTTAAAATAAAATAAAATCTAGCATTTTCCCCACAAACCCAGCAAAGGCCAACACGAAAAATTCAACATTTATTGCAGTAGGGTGGCAAAATAGAAATGATGATTTTTTCCTCTATTTTCCTCTAGTGGCTCATACTGTAATACACAAATATGACAAACAAGAAAGTGAAAGAATATCTAAAATGTAAGAAGGTCTTGATTAATATTTCTAGACCATCTGTGAGTTAAAAACCATGATTTCGGTTTATATATTTTGCGCTTATCATTTTTCTCATCTTTACTTACCAGTCAATCATGGTCCTAGGATCTTTACAATGGAAGAGACCTCAGAAACACTGTGTCTAATCAATCTACTCATCTTACAGGTGAAAAGAAGTCCCAAACAGGACATTTTGAGTAAGCCCTTTTCCTTTTTAAATAAATAGGTGTCAATTATGTATGAAGTAAAACTAGACACGATATCATGAAAAATGACTAACTGAACTTACCTGGTCTTTAAGGCATCGAAGGGGGAAATCAAGCCTTGTGTGTATAAACTAACTATGGGCCTTACCTATGGGTGTCCCCATGTTTTCTTATGTCACTAACCAGCTGAGTCCTCACCAGGTTAGCTTGCTGATGTGACATGCACATTTTTGAGGAGCTAGCCTTTAGTTCAGGCAGAGAGGTCCCAGGTGAAAAGGCTCATTCCATTTCACAGTTAAATCACCAGATAAACATATCACTCTACTAAAGCAAGCCATGGAATGTCAAATACTACCTCTTCTCTGTGACTATGAGGCCCAGAAATGCACTTGTCAACAGGGGAATTTGATAATGAGCCAAGGGAGAATAACAAATGATGGTTAGTTATGAATTTCAGGATTTAAATATAAACCAAAACCATTTCCTAAGTTTTCACATATCTTTAACCCCGAGAGAGAAATAAATCCTGTAGCTTCATAGTTGTTACATGAATATAAATCCACAAGGATAAGACATTTATTTAGAGAGGCTTAAAGTATTCTCTCATCCAAATTAAATTTTTTTTCTATTCCTGGAGATTCTATTGAACTTAGAAAAGGCTCTGTGAGAGGAACATAGTTGTAGAGAATTTGTGGAAAAGATATAGACAGAGTATACATTCAAGTCTCAAAAAGAGAAATAATTTACTTTGATTGTCACACAGTGTCAAATACTCACAAATATAGATCCCTATGCCATTGTATACAGAAATTGTCCATCTACTTACTGTTTGAGATTTCTTCTTTTTCTTTTTCATTGACCTGAAAAAACCTTGCTTTTCCTTTTCCTTCAGTTGTTCAGAATGACTAATGTTTTCAGGACTTTTCCTAAATGGAAAGACATTTTTATCATATTGATTTTTCAATCATTCTCCTGCCATTACATAACAAAGACTAAAAATGTATGACACCAGGTCCAAATAGTCAGGAAGAATCAGGCACACAGGTAAAGAGCCTCAAAACAAAAATAAAAACAAAACAACAACAACAACAACAACAAAAAACAACCAGCCAAACAAACAAAATACCCAAACCAAACCAAACCAAACCAAAAGCACAGGAGGAAGTGAATCTAATCAACCAGGGCTAATGATTAGCCTTTGGCACAGGCTCACTGGAACTGGCAATTCTGAGCATTTATTACAAATGATCAGTAGTTGTGCTGCAGGATCATTTTCATGCTGGGGAAAACCTAAGAATTAGAGTGTGAAAGGAACATGTTTCAAGGATGCTTGGTCTATAACCTCCCAAGGGAAAGAGCAGAAACATTTCAATATCTTCATCTTTCTATTGATCTTTTAATTCAATGTAATATTTTTGTGTGCACATGGGGGGTATACCTGGAAGTGCTCAGGGAATCATATGAGGTGCTGGGAATTCAAACAAGGGTGGACTTCACTCAAGGAAAACACCTTCCCTCCTGTGCTATTCCTCTGGCGCCTCTATTTACCTTTTTATTTTCTGGTTTGGGGATTGCGCCTGACAGTACTCAGAAGACCACCTGAGGTGCTGGGGTCAAATCTGGGTTGACCATCAGCCAGGCATGCATCCTACCCCCTGTAATATTGCTCTGACTCCTATTTATCTTTTTAAACCCAGCTCAACAAACTATCATTAGAGTAGCTTCCCCAAGTATTGAGAAAACACGCCTACCAGTGCTGTTACAGAAACATTCTCAGGAAAAGGAAAACTCACCTGAAATGGAAAAACTACTTTATAAGAATCTTATACTTACTAAAACAAAATTTAAAAATAGATAGGGTCAGAACAAAATGGAGAAAGATGAATGCTTTACCACAAAGCACTCTGGAAAGAAAGCTTCAAACTGAGAAAACTGGCAATCCGCTTGGTTCCAGTGTCCCAGGTATTTGGAACACAAATAGGAAATATGAAAAGACAGCAAATAAACCTCCTGGGCTCCATCGAGTTGGTTACTTGTATGTAAACAGAGGCCTGGTATGAACTAATGGACAGTCTTTAAAAGGCAACTCAAATGCTGTTTCCTCCTAACGAAGGAATATTTCATGGGTTTTGTTTTCCATTTTGAATATCTATGACTGTGGAGAACATTTCCCCTCCCCCGCATGACTGAATTCCTTCTATTACCTATTCCCTAGATTTATTTCTGGTTTTAGAATACCTAACAGTGATGGAGTTACTAGAACATTGAAGAAAATAGGAGCAATGCAGCATTCTTTATTTGATTAGATCTCTGTGAAGGTAGGAAACATCTATATCTACTAAAGATGCACATGATAGAAAACACCATGAAGCTATTTAAAATAAATCACATCTTCCAAAGAATTTTCACTAAAATGTAGAAATATTCAAAGTAAGTGGGAACAGCAGGATTCAAGTTCTCTACATAATATGAGCCTAACTATATTAAGAGAGACATATATGGGAGCATTTATACACATTTTGTAAGGCAGGAAGAAAATAAAATAGGATCATAAACCCTATCACATTTCAAAGCAAATATGTATAACGGATAGAATAAAAGGTGTTACAGAACTGAGGGTGTGGCATAATAGCAGTATGCATGGGAGGTTTCAGGAGGTTTCATCCTGACACCCTTAAAAAACAATTAAGAAAATGGTTTACAAACCAAAGAAAATGTATTTTAAAAAAATTCCAAGAAGAGAGAGAGAACATAAGGGAATGCCCTGCCACAGAGGCAGGGTGAGATGGGGGGTGGGAGGGACACTGGGATCCGTGGTGGTGGGAAATGGGCACTGGTGGAGGGATGGGTATTTGATCATTGTATAATTGAAACCCAAGCACAAAAATTTGTAAGTCTACAACTGTACCTCATGATGTCTCACTAAAAAAAAAAAAAAAAAGAAAGAAAAAAGAAAACAAATCCAAGAACTCAAGATCAAGTGCAATGAGGGAAAGACTTTAAAAAAGATACAGAAAGACAATAAATGAGGAAGTTAAAAAGCTACAACAATTTGGGCCAAAGACATATACAGTGGGTAAGTTGCTTGCCTTGCAGGAGGCCAACCCGGGTTCGAGCCCACCAGAAGTGACGCCACAGTAAGCCCTGAGCACCGCTGGGGTGTGGCCCCAAAATACACCAACCTCCCCTCACCAAAAAAAAACCCTGATAACGACAAAAACAAGTTATGACCATTTGAAGAACTATAATTGTTCCTTTTTATATATTTAGTCGAAAGCTATTAGTGATAGCACAGCGGGTAGGGCGTTCGCCTTACAAGCGGCCAACATGGCCGACCCGAGTTCGATTCCTCCGCCCCTCTCGGAGAGCCCGGCAAGCTACCAAGAGTATTCGATATGCCAGACACAGTAACAACAAGAATACCAAGGAAGTAAAAAATGTATGGTGGTCACAAATATTGCAGAAACTCATTAAGATTCTCAATTTTAAAGAAATCTTGAGAGTTTCCAGTTCTGATGTGAAAGCTATGTAGTACAACACAACCCATAAAATAATTAGTGGTATTGAAACTCAGAACAATGCCGTCACAAATTTTGAAAGCAGGCAACTTCAGACATGATGAAATGGGCAAGAATGGAATGGTGAAGTGTCCGTCTTTGAACACCGCACTGAGGGGGCAAACCCCTCGCATCCCAGTAACAGACTGGGCCCAGATCCTGGACATGTGGGTGGTCAGTGTCTGATGAACAAAACCCTTGACCCGGGGCCAAGGGCAAAGCAGCGGTGAGTTAGGTGAGAGGCCTTGGGAACACAGCAGTGCACAGAGCAGGGTTGATGGAAACGAGTTTCAGTGCAGTCAGTTAATGTTAATCCTAAATTGATGTTCTGTAACTTCCAGAAGCTGAAGAATCATTCACTCATGATACACATATGCCCTTCCACTGTGAGGTCTGCACATATTTCTGAGGTGCATTTGCAGTAAACGGTAGCAGTGCTTTTTTTTAAGGGGTGGCGATGGGGGTGTTACACTGGCTGTGCTCAGCGTTTAATCCTGGCAGGGTTCAGGGAGATATACGGGGTGCCCAGAATTGGACCTGGGTTGACCACATGCAAGGCAAGCGCCCAATCCCACTGTACAATCTCTCGGGTCTGTGGGCAGAGGTTTTTATCAACCAGAATGAACATTGAAAAAGGTACTAAGGATCAGAAGTACAAGCTGCTACCCTTTATTGCAAATGCGCCAGCCCACGAAATCTTTAAGGGGGACATGTTCATTATGACAGAGACATTGGGACAGAAATGTGCACTGGTGACATAAGACATCGATGCTGGTACAAGAATAAAGGCTAATAAAATATGAGAGAGAGAGAGGGGGAGAGGGGGGGAAAGAGGGAGGGAGGAGAGAGAGAGAGAGAGAGAGAGAGAGAGAGAGAGAGAGAGAGAGAGAAGAGAGGTGCCTGTCATAGAGGCAGGCTGGGGTGGGGGTTGGTTCGAAGGGATGGGAGGGAAACTGGGGACACTGGTGCTGGGAAATTACTCTGATGGAGGGATGGGTGTTGGAACATTGTATGACTGAAATGCAATCATGAACAATTTTGTAATGTTCTATCTCGTGGTGATTCGATTAAAAAAAGAGTAAAGGCTGAGACATGAGTCCTGCAAGGAGCAGGATTTGGGGTGGGAAAAAAAAAGAGAAAGTGAGAACATGGGAATAGGGGTGGGGGGTTGGAAGAAGAAAAGGAGCAGAACAAAAAGATCCCTTGCTTTCTGTTCTTTGTGTCCCCAAACACAGGGAAGATGGATCAAAGACTCACTGCAGGTCTTTTCAGAAGCGATGCATGAAAAACTAGAACCCCAGAGAAGACAGTATGAGGAGGAAAGTATGTTACAGCCAAGGCTGAGCAGAGGTATTAGGGCCATGATCTGGGCAGAGAAAGATCTGAGAGGCCAAATCAAAACGGGAAAGAAATGATCCTTGTGCCAGATGAAAGCTGGGGGCGAGGTGTGAGTGCATACGTGTCACTGAGGGAAGCCGGGGAGCACAAGGGTGATGGAGAAAGCCAGAGAGGGCCACACCAGAGAAAGGACAGGGGAATGGAAGAGACGGACAGCCAGGGACAGAGCCTTGGCCAGGGCCCAGATGGACTGTGCACAGACTAAAAGGGGCCGCGCCACAGCCAGGAGGTAGAGTGTGCCCTGGGATGATCTCAATTGCGAATTCTGGACCCTGGACTCTGCCTGGCACAATCAATAGATGGTCCTGAGGAACCATCCAAGTGCAGGGCAAGTGGGAGATCACCTCTATCACAGTGGCCACACAGATCATCACCTGGCATATAATCCAAGGCTGGCAAAATATTTAGCTGATAAATAGCAGGAGTGGGCAGGTGGTTGTGGCAGGTCCTTCCTATCCAGCCAACTATATCCGAATCCCACAAACTGTCTAATACAACTACTACTTCTATAAGGACTCAAGAGAAAAGAGAATCCCAAAGATTCATCTAGCGTTTGGGGATGTAGTTCAGTGGTAGGTCCCCTGCCTTGCATAAATGAGCCCCTGGGTTTGCTCCCTCACACTGCAAACAGAAAAGAACAAAGGCGGGTGGGGGGGGGGAGAGAGAGAGAGGAGAGAGGAAAAAGAGGAGAACAGAGAGAGAGAGATGTAGAGATGGGGTTGAGACACACAAAGAGAGAGAGAGAGTGAGAGAGAGAGAGGAGAAGGGGTTAAAACACTTGCCCCGCAAGAGGCTGACCCTAGTTCAATCCCTGGCACAACCTATGGTCTCCTGAGAATTGCCAGGAGTGATCCCTGAGCACAGAGTCAGGAGTAGGCTCTGAGCACTTCCTGAAATGGCTGGCCCCAACCCCCAACCCCCAAACCCAACCAAACTGACTGAATCTAAGTCAATCAACATTTCTGGATAAC